GACAGGGCTTGGAGCAACCCGGTCTGGTGGGAGGTGACCCTGCCCAGGGCAGGGGGTTGGACTAGATGGTCTTTAGGATCCCTTCCCACCCAAACCATTCATGATTCCGTGATTTCCCTGGAGAAGGCAGGCAGTGGGGCACAGAGAGCTTAGCAGAGCTCATGGGGCATCTCCCACCAGCAGCAGGGACCGGGACCATGGACCCTCCAGCAGCTAAATCCCAGGTGTCGGAGAGCAAGGTCACCCCATGAGAGCGGGGTGGCCGTAACAGATCCCATCTCTGCTTTGTCTTATTGATTCCTGGCAGGGACCGGCAGCAGCTGCTGCAGAGGAGAATGAAATGAAATTTCCCCTATTATCCTCTGCCTGCAGAGGAATTTCGTACTAATTCCTGTCACTTCGGGTTTGTGTGCTTGGGGAAATTAATCTGAAATCAAGTGGGCTGTGAATTCAGAGTGCCGCTGCAATCCCAGCCTAGCTTGGACAGTTTTCTAAGTGGCCGGGCTATTCCCCAGAGCACGAGGCCAACCCTGGCAATTTAACAGAGCCTCCAGCGTCAGGTTTTATATGCATTAGAGTAGGACCTTGAGTCCAAACACATGAGATGGAGCAGCCAAGGAGAAATTAATTCAACAGTCTTCCAGCCTCACTGCAAAAAAAGAAAGAGGGAGAAGACAAATATTTGGCTAGTTACCCCGGTGTGCGGACGGCGCAGACAGGAGATGATCCCATGTCGGTGGGCTCGCTGGTTTGCATTTGGATTTGGGGAGCAGGGAGAAGGTGGTTTCAGTGTATGAGTGTAGAAAACAAGGGATCCAGCTGGAAAAAAGAGCATAAAGGACTGTGTTAAACTCTGTGCATCGTTAGGGTAAAAATCATATCAAATATTTTTGCAGGCACAGGGTCCGTGAGGAGAGCTGGGCACTGAGGTTCACCTTTCAGGCTCAAAGAGCATTGAGCATCTTTGCAGCCACCCTCACACAGAACAGTTGAAGGAATTCGTGCAGCGGGGTCCGATGGGCTCAGCTGTTTGTCAAACCCAGGATTTGCGTTATCCGTGGTGCCTCGGCTCTGCTAACCCCTTCCAGGGTGTGGGACCGTCATGGCACACAGCTGTGGCTTGGACAAGTGAGGGAGAGGTACGAGAAGAGGATGGCTGAAGTCCAGCAAAGCGCTTGTGTTGCTGAGATGAGATGAGATGAGATGAGATGAGATGAGATGAGATGAGATGAGATGAGATACCTCAGCCCTCCACCGTGCCTCGCAGAGCCTTCCACGTACCCTGAAGCAAGGTGTCCTACCAAATCAGCTCATGAATTCCAGCTCAAGAATAAATAATAAAATATACTAATAGGAAGAAAATAAATCCAATGCGCTTCTAGAGGCTTCCCACAGCTCGACCACCACCTGGCTGGTTTATCCAGGTCATCGTACAGCCCTTCCCTTCTCCCGGTAACGACACCCAGTGCCCCTCTGCTCTTCCCCAAGCCCGTGGACACCCTGTAACACCCTCCCCTGTAACACCCCCCCACCTGTAACACCTTTACCTATAACACCCTCCCCTGTAACACCTTAACCTGTAAGGTCCTCCCCTGTAACACCCTCCCCTGTAACACCCCCCCACCTGTAACACCTTTACCTATAACACCCTCCCCTGTAACACCTTAACCTGTAAGGTCCTCCCCTGTAACACCCTCCCCTGTAACACCCCCACCTGTAACACCCTTCAGACCCTGTAGCACAGCCCAAAGCCCTCGCCCACCTTCCCTCCTCAGCCTGGACTCCTCGCTCCTCACTTCCAGCATCTTTCCATCTTCCAGCCGCGCCGTGTAGCTCAATATAGAATGACCATGGAACCATTATGGTATACAACCTGTTCTTCACCATCCGCAATTCTCCCTGAAACCTTTTCCTGTTCAGGATCAGAGGATATTTAATGCTTGTCCACCTGTGCCACCCCACGGATCAGAACCTGCTCCCGGCACGGCTTTATAAAGCGTACCTCTCTCTTTTTCAGGCTTGTGTGTATGGAGGTAGAAAGGAAAAAAACCTTGGCATTGCTCTTCGGTTCCTAATTACAGCCGCGGGAGACAGGAATTCTAAACCCTGAGTTGTAAATGCGAAACTTATTGCTTAAAGAGACACCTTACAAGCAGGCTATCAATCACACTTGGCAATTATTAGTACTTTGTGAGTATTTTGAACTCAAGTAGGTGACAGTCTCATCCATCCTGGAACAGAGAAATCCATGGGCATTTGCATGCG